GCTGTATAAATTAAATCAGCATTCAAAACAAGAACATACTTTAAAAAAAAAAGGGTATTTTTTTGTGTGTATATATATATGTGTGTGTGTAATACATTCTGTAGTAGAATGCAGGTGGTTGTATCCACAATGAACAGCTAGAATTTTGATGCCGTAGAATGGCCGATCCAAATAAGAAATTTCGCAGTCAAGGTATATTTAATTTAACATTTATTTCAGTAAACATGTTGTGGCCACAAACAAGTTGGCACATTTATTGTGCCTATTCCAAAAAGCTTACATTTTTGATAACTTAACAACTAGAAACAAGAAAGAAGCAGCAGATAGACAGCAGTCCAGCTAGGCCAAAGTGTTGAAAGCAATTGTGTTAAGTTCAGAGTGAAATCTTAATTCAGACTGAGTTAATTTTGGTTCTCAAAGCATTTTGATTGGATGGATGGTTGATATTGCTGTAAAATTACTATTCGCTTTTTGAGTTTTAGTTTCATTTGCATCATCAAAATTATGTAAGAGTCATATGGCATAAATTTTTCTCAAAATGACGAAGTGCAAATAGAGATTACTATTTTTAGCATACTGAAGGGAATTAATTTTCACTGCTAATTTAATCTTCGTAGTAATAGTTTCATGAAGTAATAGTTTACATATTCTTACATATCCCCCCTTCAAAAGAAAGGTTGCAACAGCAAGCCAGAAGAAAAAGCATTAGAGAGAAAGCATTACAGAAGAAGAGAGATAATTTGAAAAAATACAAATCCTGAAATTTTGAGCAAAATAATTATTGCTGTAGTTGCAAAACATAAACTTTGATAAGATTTTGGAGTCCTATTAAAAATTTTCAGTCCAAAAGTCTTTGTGTTTTAGAGCCCACATAGTTATATTTTTTCAAAAAGGCTTTGAGCACAATATCACAGTTGTAAAAATTTTGCACGCACATTATGTATTTTGAATAATCACAAACTTCAAAATGTTAAAAACATAATTACATTTCGGTATTATAACATATATTTTAACATCTTAAATTTTATAATAGTATTAGTAAAATTATGGTTTTACTGTCATTGTTACATTGTCAATTTTCTTGTTTTACACTAAACCAGAAGACACCTATAGCTTTCTCAATTGCTTGAATTCTTCAATTCAAGCATTTCCAGCTATTTGGGCATCACCACTTTAACGAACTCATGTACTGAATTTTTGTTCCTTGTTTAAAGACATTTGGCCTTTTTGAACTGCACTATATCTTCCACTTATAAAAAAAAAGTTAACACGCTCCATTTATATAAAAATAATAATTATATGAAAAAAATTATAATGTGGGAGCCTTCAAAGTTTATGCTTCTGATATGAGCAGGGTAAAAGAACAAATAACAGAGGTAAAAACAGGGCCTCTGTTTTGTACCAGCACTCCCTCATCATACTCTTACATGCATTTATTCTCTTTTTAGTATTCTTATATTCATCATAAATATGCTCAATATTTTAAACGTTACATATTTTCGAAATTATATTCAGAACACTTCTATACCACTCCAAAACACTTCTGTAAAATTAACTCATACATTTTTCAAATAAATCAAAATTCTTAAACTTAAAATTTTAAAATAGTAATGTCATTTCTAATTATTACTACAGTAATTTTAATAACCTTCCCTAAATAAAATAATTATAAATCTTTAAATTCGTTATTTAATTATGTAAAACAATTAGAAAAAACTATATTTATTTAGTATCATAAAACTTGAATCAATAAAAATGGTACTAAATTTTTAAAATCTAATATGAACAACATCAGATACCTAAATTTCAAAGCAGAACTTAATTTAAAAATCACTTACTTCATAGTTATAGTTTAGAATACATCATTTTGAAAACAACATTTATATTAATCTAATTAATTATTTCACAGTAACGAAAAATTTAAACGTACTCAAGTCACAGAAAATAGCGCCAACAAAATTAATAAATGCCAAACGATTAAATGAAAATTTCAGAATGCTTGTGTTTTCATTCTTTGAACACTTGTATTCTGTTTTTATTTTTAAACAATAAAATTAAATTTCAGGAATTTTAATTAAAACTTTTCACACAAAATTTAAAATCACTGAACGAGCATTAGGTTTGTTTCATTGAAATAATGGTGATTCAGATATACATTGACCAAAAGAAAGTCATTTTGATAAACATAAGACCATATAGGAATCGGAAAATGAATTTAAAGGATTTCCTGCAGTTCACCACGTGCGAAGTGCATGACACATGTTGACCTCCGTAAATTTTTGATGCAGGATGGAAGTATCTTGCACATAGCACTTCAAAACACTTCTCATAAACACAGAATGATGACTGGAGTATTTAATAATTTTGTAGTTGACTGAAATTTACTCCTATTGAACCTAAAGCACTGATTACTTGCAATGCACATAACAGATGATCACGAAGTACAATTTTTTTTTCTTTTCGTAGACACTGGCAGAACACGAGCAAGAGATTATAAACACGGAAATTAAAAATAATCATGGCATAAACTTGCATCCAAATTCGTTTAAGTATGCTCAAAACAGTGATGGACCCGGCACAGATGCAATTCTGTCTAACGATTTTGCTGTAATAAATTCTATAGTAGAATGCAGGTGGTTGTATTCACAATGAACAGATAGAATTTTAATGCTATAGAATGCAGTCAAGGTATATTTAACTTTTATTTCAGTAAACATGTTGTGGCCACAAACAAGTTGGCACATTTATTGTGCCTATTCCAAAAAGCTTACATTTTTGATAACTTTGTAGCAAGAAAGAAGCAGCAGATAGACAGCAATTCAGCTAGGCCAAAGTGTTGAAAGCAATTGTGTTACGTTCAGAGTGAAATCTTAATTCAGACTGAGTTAATTTTGGTTCTCAAAGCATTTTGATTGGATGGTTAATATTGCTGTAAAATTACTATTGGTTGTTTGAGTTTTAGTTTCATTTACATCATCAGAATTACGTAAGAGTCATATGACATAGATTTTTCTCGAAATGACGCATTGGAAATAAAGGTTACTATTTTTAGAATACAGAAGGGAATTAATTTTCACTGCTAATTTAATCTTTTTACTTATTCTTACACATATATAATCATTGTCGCTATAAAAGCCACGAAGACACAAATGGAGAGTTATGTGAATGAACTCACTAAGATGCAGTTTTATTGTGATAGGTGTCAGTGGATCGATAGGAGCTGTACACTTAATTTATTTTTATGATTTATAGTTGAATTTTAATGAATGATTTAATGTTAATATGAGGGTAGGATTCAAAAGTTCCTGGACTAAGTCTATAACATGAAAAATATTATGAATTAAGTTCCAGAAAAATATCCTCCTTCGTAATAAGACCCTTGTGCAACAACACGCTTTTGCCAGCACCTGTAAAACTCATCAAAGCATGTCTGGAATCCATTTTGGCCATGTCCTTTAATTTAGCCTGCAATGCACATTTAACTTTATTTGAAGATTGATATCGAAGACCCTGCAAGCGTCTTACCAGTTCAGGAAATAGGAAGAAATTGCAGTGTCCGAGATCAGGTGAGTAAAAGGATGAGGCAGCAAAACAGTTGTTCTCGTTTTCATAAGGGAATTAATGACCGGTTATTCACGAGTAGGGATTGGTTAGCAGGCGCGTTGTCACGCAACAGCACCCATGACTGCTCAGCCCACATTTTTGGTCTCTTCTGCTGGATCTACTCATTAGATCCAGTAGAAGACGACACAGGAGTTCAGTGTAGAGTTCTTTGGTCACAGTGCTTCTTTCAGGGATAAATTCCAGATGCACATTGCCCTGGATATTGGAGAATACCTCTAGGACCTTTTTCCTTTAGAGTGATCTTGGCGGAATTTCTGCTTCTATGGAAATTGTGGTGATTTCTACCTTACTGATGCTCTCTTGGTTTGTGGGTCATACAAAAAACACCATTTCTCATCTCCAGTTACAATTCTGCCATGTAGAGAAGGATCTTTGTCAACAGCCAAGATTAAGTCCCCCTGCCATTTCCATTCGAATTCCCTTTTGGTCTATGTTTAACATGCGGGGAACAACATGTTGACACACCCTATCCATGTTAAGATCCTTAGTCAGTATCCGTTGACATGTGGCCTCTGATATTCCAACTGATTCTGCTGTTTGGCAAATTGTTTGCTGCCTGTTTGGACATACCACCGCAGACACCTTTTTGATGTTTTCATTGGTGCATGAAGTCACAGGACGACCACAGCATTTGTTGCCTTCGGCACTTTCCCTGCCTTCTTTGAAACAACGATGCCACTCAAAAGCTTGTATTCTCAATAATGTTTCACTTCCATACACATGGTTCAACATTTAAAAAATCTGCGTAGCACTCTTTCGCAAGCAAATTTAAAATTTGATATTGATTCTTTGCTCAACTGGCACTATTTCTTTTTATCGCCTGTTACAAAATGCACCTGCATTCAAAAAGCGCTGTCACTAAAGGGGGAGAATGTAGTAACACAGAAACATTCTCATAGTTGCACTGCTGCAAAAATTTTTACATTATAGACTCAGTCCGGGAACTTTTGAATGCTACAACGTATATTCCTAATTATGTACTGTTGTGGATAAAGAAAGTTCTTAAATTCAATGATGTCATCTACTATCGTTGTTGTTACTCCATGCATGTTCTTGTCCTTTTTGTATTCCCATGGAAATTTTGCTTCATTTTAATTGTCTGTGATAGTAATAATTTCATTATTTCACAATAAACACTTTTTAAGATGATTAGAATTTTCCTCATTCTGGCTAATCAGCATTTGACTGTATTATTATTGTCAGATTCATTCAGTTTTCAAATGATTTATTTTTATGTTGGCCTTCAAGACCACAAAATAATGAAAGTACAGTATTTTGGCTATAGTGATTAAGAATTAATGCCATTATTTTTGTGAGAACCCTGCTTTTTTATGCTACTTTAACATCCAGATAATTATGTTAATTTCTATTTTTAGCCGTAAATAAGAGCTACTTGCAACATCAGTACTTCATGCTTAATTTGATTAAAGCTGTCCGTGTGTTATTTGGTCACCAGCGACTTCTGCAGAAGGTTATAGTACGCCCTTTTCGTCCTAACTCAACAGTTTGTGACAGTGCCATCTCTACTTCACAGTTATCTTTACAAAGAGGAACTTCTGAATCTAATGACAACATGTTGTTACTGCAATATTTAATGTCTGCAGCCAGTCAACCATCACCTTTAAAATGCATCTTTACTTGGGAGGAAATTGAGGTAAATTTTCACATTGAATTTTGTAAAAATCTAACCTTATGTTTTGAGTATTTTTATTTATTTAAAAAAAATTACCGAACTCCCTCCGTCTTTTTTGTGGGCGAGGGAGAGATTTGCTGTATAAATGTCTGATTAACATTTAAACCAGGGCAGGTAAAGGCAGATTATTTTATGCAAATATCTGTATATATCTGCTCTAAAATAGAGGTTGTCTTTATTTAGAGCAGTTTTAATGTTTCTGAAACTGAGATTTATGTATTTTTAAAACATCTGAAAATTATATTAATAAATATACCATGTCTGTTATATAAAAAGCTGTGGAGGATTTATCATTTTGCTTTTTTAATACATAATTCAAGAAATGTTTTATGCAAAAAATATATGAACATACCAGTAGCAAATAGTATCTATTTATTTAGCTTTCTGTTGTATTTTTGCTAAAAATTGTCATGGAAACTTTTTCTGTTCATTTTGTAATTGCTAATTTTATAATTTCCATATCATGTAGAATTCCGCATCATAATTGCTATGCCAGTCATCATACTGAAGTATTGATAAGTAAATTGAAGAAGTATTGTTCTCTTACTGTTAAATTAATGCTTTTTAAATTTTTATTGGTTTAATTTTAGATGTCAGATTGTATAAAGTCTTACTACTTAGTAATTTTTCAGGCCTTAATATTAAATTTAGTCTCATTTTCATGTTCTTGTTTAGCTATCTGTTACGAGACATTCAAGAATATGTTTCTTCTCACATTATTCTGGAAATATCTGCTTTGCAGTATTCAAAATCTAGAAGTCTAATATCCAGGAGGCCCACTAGTGGCCGAGCGGTAACGTCATTGAACACTGGTAGTCCGAGGTTCGAATCCCGCGAACGGGCTGGCTGCATGGGCGTTTTCATGGTTTTCCCCATGTGTAACGTGTATACGAACCAGTTTCCCTTAGAAAGTCCTCCACGTAGGCATCCCTCCCTTAAGGCAGATAGCCCTCGAGTGCTTTGCCATAATCTAATCAAACCAAAGCCAATATTCAGAATGATCTAATATCTGGACCTCCAAACCACCTTCAAACTAACAACAAACTAAAACTTTCCTTACAAGGTCTAGGAATAGATAATATAGTAACAAAAAGAAGCAGGAATGCAGTGAATGTGATATTCATTCAGATTAACTGAGAGTTCTGCATGTCAGTTTTAAACAGCTGCTGGCTTGTATGTCACACTGTGGGCGCTAACAGTATATTGATTAATCTTGTATTGAATTTGGCCTGGATCATACCTGAGGCTGTTGAATGGTTTTTCAGGGGGACAGAGTCAGTGCTACACGTTTTGCCACTCAGTGCAGTATCTAAGAATCCTAAATTCTAAAAATTCTATCATCCCTATTATACTGCCCAATGACCATGTATCTGAATTCTAAAATTTCTGCCATTCTTAATTTAGCTGCTTGGTGCTTCTCTAAGTTCTAAAATTTTAGCCATCCCTAAATTCTGGCACTTGGTAGCTGTCTCACCAGTTGCACATGCTCTGGCCCTATGGAGAGGAGAGTTAGCAATTTTGTATTTGACCACAACAATAAATAAATTCACTCCACTTGTCATCTTACTAGATTTAAACTTATGGTTAAAAATTCAGAAATCTTCTTAATCCACGAAGTCCAATGATTCCAGATATTGGGCCATGCACTGTATCTGTAGGAAAAACTCACAGGGAATGTTGTTTCCTACATAGGTATTATTGCTAGAATTTATAAATTACTATTAAAATGTGTTTTATCAAGAAGTTCATAGTGTGTTCTTGATTAAATTTATATATGTATTATTGAAATTCTACCTGGAATACCTTCAAAAGTAGTTTAGAAAAGATCTATAAAAACTAAATTTGTTGTATTTGAAATTCTAACTGATCCTTGTGAAATCCTAATAGTTTCATTATAAGACTTTTTATGTAATACATTTAAGGTCAGTTTTTTTTTTTTCTTTAGTTTTAGTTTTATATTTGATCATAAGTACGTATGCCCTATTTAGCAACCTCAGTTAGTTATTGTTGGCTTTAAGTGAACTTATGGACCCTATAAAAATTTCTGACTAATGTTTATCATCAAATCTTATACTTGTATTTTTTTTAAATGTCACTTTTTTAAAGATTTACTTCTTTTTTCAAGGCTGCAGCTTTAGCTTTGGTCCAGTATCTCATGTCTGTTACTAATATGCCTTCTTCATCTGATAAAGAAGCATCTGTTAGTAGTCCTGTTAGTGAGCCTGGAACTAATACTGTTGATCCTGAGGCTGAGCAACCTCACCCTGTAATAACCCCTGTCACACGGCAAAGAAAAATGCGTGCAAAATCTTCATCAGTGCTTGCAAAAACTGATCCACAAAAAATACAGCTTTTCACTGAAATGGGATTTTCACGAAGGAACATTGAAATGGCATTTCGAACTTTAAGTAAGATTTCTTACATGAAAAATATATTTGTGATGATATTGGCTTTATTCTTTGTTTCTTGTTGCTGCTTTAAATATACTTAGTGAAATATAAGTAAGTATATCAAAGGTTAAATTAGGTTGCATTTTTTGTTAACAGTCATCCACGAGTGTCTGAGCAGTGGCCAGTCTCTGAATACTGGTAGTTCAACCTGGGTTTGTGAATGAGATGGCTGGATGGGCATTTTCAAGGTTTTGCCCATTATATGTGCATATGAGCCAGTTTCCATTATAAAGTTCTTCATGAAAGCATCCTTCCTCTTAGGTTGATAGCCTTTATGTGATTTGTTGTAATAAAATAAGCCAAACTTAATTGTTAAGTGTGCTGACAGTGTTGAGTAGTCATGTTGGAAGAGCTTTCTTCAAATTTTAGTTATTTTTTTTTTGTTTTGTTTTCCTTTTGTTTATTTGTTTAGATGCATCTCCATATTCTTTTAAATGTTTATTAAGACTAATGTTATGATTTTCAAATTTTTTCTATTTAAATTTTATATATGTGGCTATTTTCCAATTTGATTGTTTTAAAATTTAGTTTACAAATATTTTTACGAATTTTGTTCATAGATGGATTATTTTAGTGCAGTTATATTTGAAAGTATTGTATTTTTCTGTGTGTAAAGTGAAAAAAACTGAGAAGAATGATGCTGTACTGGGGAGATAAGAATACAGGGGCAAGCCTATTCAACTTTGAGTAAATGACATTCTTGCTATATTGTCAAGATACCATCAAGCTGGAAGCGGTTTTGACGACTAATTTTTGTTGCCAAATTTAATGAGAAATTGCCAAAATTCCCATTGGCAATATTTTGGTCTGATTCCTGTATCACCATAATAAGTATTGTAATTGAATAAATGCAATTAATTTCATGTGTAGCCGTAACTGTAATTTGGCTCTCTTATGCATTCCAATAGTTTTGAGAAGCAGGAAGCACTGGAAATATCTCGGCAGCCAGGCGAAAACTATATAAGACCAGAGAGAGCACCTGCTCTTGGTTGTTGCTTTTGTGAGTTGTTAGTTCAGAGCGACTTCTGAGTAATGAAAGCTTTGCCAATGCACTTTGCTTGCATTGTGTTTAACATTCTTAGTAGTTTGAAGTGTAGCTACTATTGTGAATACCTGTACGAGTATTTCTGGGGAAAGTTTCAGAATTCTGAAGCGTGTCTTTTAATAAAATAAATTTTATTAAACTATCATCAGACCCATGTGCATTCAATCTATTATGAACCCATATGCATGCAACAATATAAACAAATTTGAGCTTTACTATTATTTATGGCATTTTATTAATTTGCTTTCATATAGCAATGTTTAAGTAAAACTCATGGTGTATGTCTATAGAGTTTAGAAAATGTATTGAAATATGAATACAGTAGTATCGTAATTGTATAAAGTAATGTGGACTTTAGATAACTGAAACCTAAAAACGAGCAGCTATTATTATTGTTATTATTAATGGAATTCATATTAGGTAGTATAATTTTAAACCCTTTCTTTCATGTTTTAGTGAATTTAATATGTAATAACAAAAAACATATATTTTGTAGAAATTAAACAGTAATTTGGCAGATACATGATGTTATGAGTTTTTTCTCATGTTAAAGTTAAAACAAATTAATTCAATGTACTCTAACCAAAAAAGATTCTGTCACTTTTTGGATGAAACTCCAGATGCATGCCGAAAAATCCTTTTATTATCAGCATAGCCATTATTAAATTAGATAATACTTTCCCAGCATGATATAAGGATATTTCCCAGCATGACTAGTCTTTGAAAATTTCCATTCTGAAGTGGTATCTGCATGTTGGGTCATTTTCATGAGTATTTTTAGCACTGTCCTTCTAAAACTGTGTTTTCCCTGTTCACCAGTGTTGGCCATTCTGTACATATCAAAAGCTGTACACATTAAAGTTGCTGAGTGCAGACCTTAGCTGTGGTGGTTTAGACTTAAAAAAAAAATTCATGGTATGTGTGAATCATGTTTTTATTGCAGCATTGTTTCTAAATGCAGTGCATATTTTGCAACATTTTTGCAGAGCATTTATGCCAAATTTGTAGTCATACAACAGAGTAATGATACTCTGTTTTAGTGTTTTCCTTTTTATGTGAATATGAGCCAGTGTCCCTCATAAAAATCTTCTATGGAGGCATTCTCATTTTGACAGATAGTCCTTGAGTGCTTTACCTTATTCAAGTAATTCTAATAAGATGTGAGGTTTACATTTCTGTCTTATTTAACTATATATCATATTAATGTCATAGGTAACTATATGTGGCAAAATGGGAGATCATGAGATCATTTTTCCAGCTTTTTTAAACTTTCTTAAATATGACTATAATAAATTAGCAAACATGATAATTTATCTTAAATAATATTTTTGTACAAATTGTTTTTAAATAGGTAACAGTTAAATTTTTCTTTTTATTTGTATCCTCCAGTTTTAATGAGTAGTGTAAATTTAAGTTGCTTGAATGGTTGAAGTTTTTTAATGATAAAGCTCCACCAGTGGCCAAGTGATTAAAGACTGCTGAATATTGGTAACTCAGCCAGGGTTTGAACTCAGGGTGAATGGGCTTTCAGAATCGTTGGTTTTTGTGGTTTTCTTTATCTCAGCATAAATACAAGCCAGTTTCTCTTAGGAAGTCCTCCAGGAAGACACCTTTCCCTCTTAGGCAGATAGTCCTTGAAGGTTTTGCCATATCTAAATAATTAACTAATCAATTTTATTAATAAATAGTTTTGAACTTTTTGTTATTTTTCTAGGTTCCCTTGATCCTGAAGCTGATTTTCCAAGTAAATTAGATGCATTTTTGAGTGTTCTTCTGGATTATGAAGATCAGATGGTTGAAGTCTCAGATGATGATAGTTCAACATCTTTTGAAGCATATTCTGATTCTGATTCATTTACAGCAGATGATGAAACTGATGTGCCTAAGGAAGTATGCATAATATTAAAATAGTTGTTGCAGTTATTAAACTAAGTACTTCAATTATTATTTGTAGTATTAAACATTTATTTTCTTGACCAGAGCTGTATGTGATATCTTTGTTTCTGAAACTAATGAGTTGTTTCTCCTTGTTTTTTAGGATAATACTTACCGTTCTCGAAATGATTTTCATAGTATTTCTGAATATTCTGTTTATATGTCTGAAAACATCAATATTGGTAGCTGGGTACGGTGCTGCATCCAGTATGAAGAACTTCAAGTGGGAGACATAGGAGTTGTTACTCATGTAGGTATTAATTATGTATTGTTTTCAAGTTGCTGTATACAGTACAAAGTCTGAGATTCCGAATCATTTTGTGATTCTAGATTTTGAATATTTCCAGATTTTAGATAATCATTTGAAATGTGGTAAGATGACATGTAGCTATAGCAAGACTGAGGCTTCACTTGTTGTTTAAGTCAGATAGAAATATGCTAACTCCTCTCAACTACTCAAGGATCCAACGTATGATTCTGGCCCATATCAATACAATGCAATGTATTGTTATTGATCATGGTGTGACTGCATAGCCAGCAGGTGTTTGAAAGTAAAATTCAGAAGTCTCAATTGGGAGAAAAATTGCTTGCATGGCAAACCTGTGTCCTTTTCTTAAGTACAGCACAAAGTCTGTAATCCGGATGTCCATAATCCCGAGTGATCTATAATCCGGACCTCAAAGTTACAAACTTTATGCACATGCGTAAAAGCATAATGTGTTTATGCATGCACATAATGCATTTACGCTTGCACATAATGCGTTTATGCATGCGCGTTTAATGTATAACAAATATTATAAGCTAGGCTAAAATTATCTAACGCATTTTAGTTAATGTTGCAGATTGCGCTGTTCTTTAATCTTCTAATTGAATCCAGCTTATTATTTTTTGCAGACTGTTAGAGCAATTTTATAAAAATTAAGCTTGAACTTTCAATTATGTCAAAAAGAGTTTCCAGTTCTGTAGCTGCCAAAAGATCTACAAAGTGAAAGCATGTTTCGATGTCCATTAAACAAAAAGTGGAATTGCTGCAAAAAATTGATAAAGGCCTATCCGTCTCAAAATTATGCGAGAAATATGGCATTTGAAAGTCCACTATATATAACACAAGAAAAAGGAACTTTTTGAATTTTTTGTGGAAGCATCTAAAAAAAACTTACATTGAAAGAAATGTTTAATAAGTAAAAAACAAATATAAATGTTAAGCCTTTTTTTTTTTTTTTTTTTTTTTTTTTTGTAAATTTTGATACCCTTTAGATCATAATTGTTCTTTATTTCAGTAAAATTACTATTTTCATATTTTTAATTGTATAATTTCTGCATGCCATCTTACCATATTTAAATTGATGATCCAGAAAAACTCCTTAATTGGAATTGCCAAATTCCCGATTATGGATTTTGTACTGTATTGTAGTCTCTATGCCTAGACATTGAATTTTTTAGGCTGTAATTATCATTAATTTAAGGGGAACTTGTAGTCTGTATATTGGACTTTGTACTGTGTAAAGCATATCTGTACCTTTTTTTATACAGATAACTTTTATGAACGGAAATAAATTTCATTTGCATTATATTTGCATGCTGTTTTTCTGTTATTTTTTCCATTATTTTAGTAGAAAATATTATGCAATAAGCAAAATTTGTGAAAAAAATTCTTATTTTAATCATTTTAATGTGTTGTGCGGTTTGTGAAGCACTTAGCTGTTAATATGTTATTGGATGTTTTAGTCCTCTTATAATTCAATAATTACATGCTTTCGCTTTGTAGATCCTTTGGCAGCTATAGAATTGGAAACTCTTTTTGACATAATTACTGAATTATAGTAAATATAATATACTTTCATATGCATCCCCTGTGCTAAAAAAACAAAGATATCTGGATTGCTCTCCTTTTATTTATGCAGATTCTAATTTGTGTCTTGTGCAAAGAAATTTAAAAAAGAATATTTTTTTTAAAATTCCTAATAAATTGTAAAAGCAGTTTTATTCTGTGTTAGATTTTTTGGGGGGGTTAACGTATTTGACGGCATATAAGACGCACTTGTTTTTCCTAAATTTGGTCTCAAAAAAAGTTACCTGCATCTTATACATGAAGGACACAAGTTAACTTTCAATACTGAATGCTATTTTTAGCCCGGATAAAGGTCTAGACACACATAACTTTTTCTACATCTACATATGTGTGGCCTTCAATATAAGGATGCGCCTTATATGCCGTCAAATACGGTATTTTTTAGAAAACACACATCTTTTTTGTTCTTCCTTGTTTAATCTTTTCTATCTTTACTTTTGTTTGGGAGAGGACGAATGCAGTGAAGATAAAATTTCATCAGTTTGTGTAAAGATCCTGCTTTATTCTCATTTTTTATTTATCTTTTTTTGATTACTCAGCACATGTTAGCAATTCCCTTTCTGAAACTTATTTTTTAAAAAGGAAGGCAAGCCATTGTCATTTAATAGTGATTATCACAATTGTTATGAAATTAACAGACAGAGTGATGGCTAATTGAATTTTAAACTTTATTAACAAAAAACAAACAAAACAAAAAAAAAGTAGAGAGAACTTACATACGTCTTACTGTTTACATGACAAATTTTTAGAATGACAAAAATAATAGTGATGCCAGATGCATAAATCGTATCAAAACAATAAAACAATGATGCCACTGAAACTGTACATAATATTAATTAAATGCTCGATTTGTTGGTCCGAACAAGAAACTGCTTGATTTTATCCACAGCCTCATCTTTTATGTCTCAGAAATTCTACATGTCTAAACTTAGAGTAATCCGTCCTTAATCACTAACATGTACTTCTTTCCACCTCTTGTTAAAACTGGGGATTCAAGTAAGTCTGCATGTATTATCTCACCAGACTTTTGTGTTTTGGATCGTTTTGGTTAAATGTTCGTCGACTTTGTTTACCATGGCACATGGCTCACAAAATAGTCCATTGTAGATAAAATCTATACCATTTTGGTGCAAGTACAGTTTCACGTACTGTATTCCTCGATGCCAAAGTGATAATGGCAATTTTGCCGTCATCTTCATTGCCGACTTAGGAAAAGGAGTTGTCATTTTGTTGTCAAGCAAGTAGGTGGCAGCAGCAGAACCCCCTTGTGGCTGGATTGGTTTTGCACGTAGTTCAAAGAGTCCATTTAATGAACATGGGGGTTCTAAAAGTATATTATCCGGGGTCTCCTTGTGAAAGAAATGACAAATCATATCTTCTGAATCACCAAAGTTCGAGATTCCTCGCTTCATTGCCTTTGAGGCTGATAACAAATGTTTGCCAATATCTGGTGAGCTCAATAGATTATTGTACATTTCCAACCACCACGCACATGTCAATGTACTCACAGCCATATGCTTGTATTGTCTGTTTGTTGCCGACTGTGATTTCTGCTTGTTTGTCAAAGTGACGGTATATCTTGAAATACTCGGCTGAAATTTCTAACGTGTGATGTAGCTCCATCATCTTTGAGGTACACATTTAGGCCACAATCATCTTCTAGACAAGCAAATGCACTGCACTGAGTATTTGCAAAGAAGGTCTCTGTTTTGCCATTTGTCGTGGGTTGGCATGTCAGGGGAAAACTGGGCCAAAATTTACCAATGTGCCAGGGTTTATTACAGTGAAAACAGATGCCATTGAAACCTTTCACACCCATCACTGGTCTTAACTAAAGTCTGTTCATCGTTTTGGCATTATTTGTTGTCAAGGGTTGGGATTGGCTGACCATCTGAGGTTTCTTTACCACCCTTCTTCTATTTCTTTCCACTATGTTTTGCGCTATAATTAGCATTTGCCACAAATGTTATCGTACTTTCGTTTCTAAGCTCTTGATTTCTTCTTTGCAGTCCGCATGTTGATCTGTTCGAATCAGTTTTTCAGGTGACTTTTCCATCTTTGGCATTGAGTCCCACTGTGATTTGGAACTCTGATATATTCGTCATCAGGAAGAATAGATAAGATTCACAGTGCTAGCAGGTTCTGTGGCAACTTTCCTTCACCGCTCAACTCTTGCTCACGTTGAAGATCCACCCACAATCTACGTAAACGTGCGAGTGATTGCATTACACTTTCGTCTTTCTTGATCTGAAAAGTGAAAAACTGTTGCAGAAGAGTGTCCAATTTCACGCTTGACACCTTCTCAAAGTTACTTAACAACTCATTCTATATCACTAGTGCAGAATTACCATGCATAGGGATCAAATTTAACACATTCGGTGATACATTTGTGCGAATGATCACAGCAGCTTTCGCATTCGCCTTTGCATATGCTTTTGCGGCTTCGTAGTACTCGCATATTGTTTTTTCATTCGCACTTTCTGCCAGAGCTTTTGGCTCGATAAGGGAATTATCGAAGATGTCTGCACAATCGTTGAGCACAAATAAAGAGTTTATTTCAAATTTCCAATCAGTCCAGTTGGATAAACCTTCCAATTTGGTACACTGAACAAAATTTTTAGCTTCCATATTACGTCGTCATTAACCAGGAAATATGCAGCCAAAAAAAGAAGGCTATTGGTACACTTTAGCGTCTACCTACACACTGTTCAGGTGGAAGTGTTGAAATTGAAACGAAAGTAAAAAAAAATCTGTGATTCAAATACGTCAACATAGCCATCGTTAATTTATTTGCGCAGTTAAATGTCGCTACTTAACGTTACTAACGTCAAACTACTTATAAATTAACAGACAGAGTAATGGCTAATTGAATTTTGGACTTTATTAACAAAAAAAAGTAGAGGTAACGTACGTACGTCTTACTGTTTACATGACAAATTTTAGACTGACAAAAATAATAGTGATGCCGGATGCATAAAACGTATTATAACAATAAAATAATGATGCCACTGAAACTGTACATAATATTAATTAAATGCTCGATTCTCAACAATATTGTCTTGAAGAAAAGGACATATATTTTAATCATAACATGTTGATGAATGATTACTTGAAATTATTGTACATGACTTAGCTAGATCATATTTATTATTAACTTGCAATGTTTTTATAATAGTTGAAAATTTTAAAGATACTATTGCTTATATATTGTGTATAAGAATTATGTATTGGTTTATCAAGTTGTTTTTTAGGATCATGAACTTTTTTGCATTTAATTTACTGTTACATTATTTTCTTCCTCTATGTTTGTTACCTATGGGTTCGTGTGGATTTTTAGTGAATAATGACAACAGCACTCGTTGAAGTATCGAAACACACTTTATTTAGCCAGTAGTAAT